ATTACTTAACTAGAGGATTCAGAGCTGGTCCTTGGTCCTGGCAATGGCCATTAGCTTAGTAGCAAGCGAAACACTCCTGCTTTTTAAGAGATGAAAATCCTTGGTCTACAGATCTTGGAATCATTTCAAGAGGGAACCAATATCAAGTCTGTTAATGTAATTCAAACTCTTTTTTCTTTCTTACTACAAACCACAATAAGCAATAGAATCTATATTACCATGTAATTATACACACACACACATCACTGAAATTTGCACGTGAGGCATTCAGATCTTTTCTATTTTTTTTAGATACTGTATGAAACTCACTAAATTGTTTTCATGACTCACTAAAGGATTGCAACAGGCACTTTGAAAAATACTGTATTAGGGGCTGGATAAAGAAGGATCTGTTCAACTGGCGATATGTGAGTGTTACTGCAGTGGAGGACAGTGTGATTAGGATGGGAGTAGTTAAACAGAATGGGTCAAGCCAACCCACCACATCAACTGAACTTACAAATGTAAAGTGCCACCTTACATTTTCCTGAATTTGCTGTCTCATAGACTATTATTTGTTCTAGTCAAATACCTGCTTATATGGACCTTATGGAGTACAAAATATTATTTACAAGCTAAAATAATATAAATAACAGTATATTTTTTTTTAGTATATTTTAATTTAATGTAAAATTATATATTAATAGAACACAGCCAATTAAGAGCTTTATCTTTGTACTCAGAGCTTCCCAAATTAATTTAGTAACCTCTAAAACAAATCCCAAATAATTATTGAGCTAGCCCATATGCATAAATAGCATGATATATGCCTGTGAATATGAAATTGTGGGAACTACATATCATCTGGGCACACCTTAGAAATGTTGACACCTCTTTCCAATTGCATTGAAGGTACGTGGGCGGGTGAGAACTGACACTCGCTTAATAATCCACAGGCATCTTGTAGTAAAATGAAAATAAGTGGTGAAATTGCCATTGTGAGGGGAATTTAATTATCAGTGAAGTCAGCTTTGCTTGTGAAATGACTGGAATAAAAAAATACATAATTTTAAGATGCCAAACAATATGCACTAAAATAAACCAAAATATCATATCTGCAGGAAAACAAGCGAGGGCGGCTTGGTGGATTCTCTTTAGCTACTGCTGAGTGAATGATCTATTGTTGTACATATCAGATGCAGCTTTTATTGACTTTCATTCCCATTGTAATTGTGGTTTGCAAAGTAGAATGTCTTTCATTTAACCAATTGGGTTGAGACAGAAATACAGATAGAGAAAAAGGCCAGAACCTGAAAGGCCATTCCAAAATGGCAGTTTCTAAAGAGGAAACTGGGAGTAGTGTCAGCCAATGTAGCACTCTATCAAAATACCACTACTCTCTAAATATGTTCACAGCCTCCCTCTCCCACCCCAAACTTAACACACTAATAAACATTGCTCCAGAGAGCCTTGCACCACTGAAGAGCCACACTGAAGATCAGATGACTCTGAAAGGGTCAAAGCAGCCCTCAAAGGTCCACCTGACTCTGACTCCTTGGCCAGATTTCCTCTCTCAGTGGCCAGTTCTAGAGTCCTCTCCCCTTAGGCAAGCCTGAGTAGAGCTACTTTCCAGAGGGGGGAAGAAGAAGGGAAAATGAGAAGAGACAATTGTAGACAAAGGGGGAAAGTGAAGAATCAGGAGTGAGTTTCACCATCTGTCAGATCCTGGAATACAAGAATTCTCATTCCTGAGGCAACGAGTCAGAAGGCCACGAGACAAGGATCAGATCTGGAAATCTGGGTATGGGCAAAAGGTGATGGAGTTCAAGGAACAGCTCCTGAGCATGACCAGAGTTCACACTAATGGGGCTGGATGCATGGTATGGGTTTAGAGCTGCTTCAGACTCAGAGCTTTGCCTGACAATGCGACAGTGTGATCCTAGTAACTGATTTGGCATACCGGCAATGAAAAAAGGATATTGAAATCTCCGTAAACTAGCTCCATGGGTACTTTCAATTCTCAGCCATCATTTCATCATTGTATGAGGGTCCTCCTCACACTTTAATGAACACCCAAAACCACTTGGGCAGGTTGTTAAAATGCAGATTCTGATCTGGTAGATTTGATGTGGGGCCTGAGATTATGCTTTCCTATCAAGCTCCCAAGAGATGCTGATGATGCTGGTCCAAGGACCACACTTTGAGAAATAAGGTCCTAAGAAGTGTTTGAATTCCTATAAGGTGCCTAGCATTAACCAATGTTTCAATGCTTTGCCTTTAAGAGCCAGAAGCTGAGTAATATCTTAACTATATTTAGTATATTCATTGTCACACAAGTGCACACACCATGTCTTCTTTAATTTATCATCATTTTCAAAGAGACAAAATTCAAAATTGTACTTAGACATCTCGGTCTCCTTCAGAGGGATTTGTTTACTAAATACCAAAGGCCCCACTTATAAGGGTAGAGCTCAGGGTAAAGTATAGCAATAGAAGGAAGGGAAACAGAAGAAAGGATTAACATTGATATAGAGTCTACCCTGGGCCAGACACTCTGTAGGCAGTGCACGGAGTGGCTAAGGCCTGCAGAATTCTTATACATGCCAAGTACTAGTCTAAGTACTTTTCACACATTATCTAATTTAACCCTCACACCAAACCTGTATGTTAATACTTAAATCTGTATTTTACAAAAGGGAACTCCAAGGCTTAGAGAGGTTAAACAGTAGTGTAGAGAGTTTAAGCAGTAATGGGTTCCGAATGGGGAAGATATGATCCCATCCAGGGAATAACAACCTAGGGAAGCATTAATTGTTTTTGTTTTTTTAGAAGATAAGTAAACTTGATCAGGATAAAAATTCATTTAGTATATGATGAAAATTGCTTTCAAACCTGTCCTACCCAAGTAGTGTCAACCCCTTAGGGCAAATAGGAAGTCCTTAGGGAGCTTTAAAAATAATACTCCCTCTACCCTCAATCAATTAAGTCCTAGTCCCTGAAGATAGCATCCAAACATTGGCATGTTTTAAAAGTTTTACAGGTCATCTTAATGGGCAGCCATGGTTAAGACCATTGCTTCTCTACCAGACCCCATATGAAGTCCTAGAGAATGCTAGATTACATATATTTTTAAATTTTGATTTTAACATGAGCCTTCCCTCAGAGCATACTGTGCAATGGGAAGATAAGCCAGGTAAGCCCCCTTCATCCATAAGGAACCGAGGAGTGCATACCTGTATAATGTAACAGGTTGTGCTTCAGTGACAGGGCTCAAGCGAACTGGTTATATTTCTAAATGGGTTTGTGACAATGTCGGAAGATTCCTTATAGGAGATGGCTACTGAAATGAACTTACAAAGAAAAAAGAATACAATATGAAAAGGATGTCAAAGGAGACAGTTTGACCCATGATCATTATCTCTTTATGCTGCTGTCTTCATTATAGAAGAATTTAGTAAACCCAGTTTTAAAAGTCAGGCCTTGTCAAGTTCAATGGTATACAATGTTTCTCAGCACTTCTTTTCCAAGAGTAAGTAGATTTTGCTAATACCAAAACTGCTGAAGAGAAAATTGTTTTCTCTTCCAGGAGTTCAATTAAGATGTTAGATAGGGTAATACTTCATGATTCAGGATAAGCTTGTTTGGACTCCCACCATTATGTCACAGCATTTCCTAGGAAGACCTGGACTTCTATTAGCACCAGATGTAAACATATGTGCAGAACATTTGTCCCAGCAATTGCCTGCAAGTGAAATTAGCTGTAGTGAGTGTGTGGTGTGAAGGGTGTGTGTGTGTGTGTGTGTGTGTGTGTGCGTGTGTGTGAAGGTGGGGAGGGGTGTATTGTAAAAAAAAAAAATGGTCTAACAGTCAGAGCAACGTTGCAGGCCAAAGAAATTGATAAGCCCAAATCAACAGATTCATTGATGATTCAACAGAGACAACCAGCTGACCTGTCTGGAGGCATTCCTGCCATTTTATCTATGGAGCAATGTCCACAGGATGAATACATTGGAAGAAAACAAAATTGTTTAATTATGAAGAAATTAGTGCAAAGACTCTATTTGCTTTGTAAAATAATTATCCTATAAAGGAGAGCAAAGTATCTGTAGATATATGTATATTTTTTCATACATTGCTTATAATGAAGCTAAATGAACCTTTGATATAATACTACAAATAAGGTAGGATATGTATCAGACATATCTACTCTTTGCCCTAAACACCTAGCCTCAGCCATTTATTTTAAGCCTGAAACTTTGCTGGCTACTTCGTTTGGGCATCCACATCCATTTTTTGCTTACAGGGAACAAAGGGATGTGGCTTGGACCCCCTTTTACTCCCAACTGGATTCTTCTTAGACCACTGCATCTCAAAGTAGAGGTGTGTCACTTTAGAAACAGGACTTCTATTACTGAGACACTGCTGCACAATTTCCGCCTCCTTCATATTCCCAGTTTCCAAATTATTTTATTTTGCTTTGCATGTTGTCTCAACTTGATCATTTCTTGCATTAGTGAAAAATCGAGAAGAATCTCTATAAAGTTCTGTACCTCTTGCCTCCAGAAATACTAGTTCTCTAAAATAACCAGGTAAGAAGAGAAATGCTGAATTATTACCCATCTTAAGCAATTGCTTCAGTTTTCTACCTCTTAGTGCTTTAATCTTCTGGGTCTCAATTTTCTTATCTGAAAAGTTGAGGGAATTCATTTATTCTGCAACTATTTATTAACCACTTACCACATACCAGGTGCTGTTTTAGGGGCTGGAGAAGAAAGAATGAGTAAGAGAAACTCCTCCCCCTTCTGAAGTTAACACTCTAGTGAGGCAGACAGACGATAAACAAACAGAGTATAATATAATATAATATAATATAATATAATATAATAATCAGGCTTGATAGTATTAAGAAGAGAAATACAGGAGCTCCTCTACTTTTGATGTGGTTACATCCTGATAAACCCATTATAAGCTGAAAACAGCCCAAGTCGAAAATTCACTTTAATACACCTAACACATCGTACCTTAGCCTCGTCTTCATGAACCGTGTGGCAACAGAGCGCACTGCAGAGATGGTCGCTTCCCCTCGTGACCCCGCGGCTGCCCCGGAGCAGCAGGTCGCGGCCACTGCCCAGCGTTAGACGGAGTACCGTGCTGCAGACCGCCAGCCAGGGAAAAGATCAACACTCCAAATTCGAAGGACGGTCTCTACCGAATGCGTACGTCTTTCGCACCATGCTAAAGTCGAAGAATCCCACGTGGAACCATCGAGAGTCGAGGCCCTCCGCACAGCAGTGTGAGGGGAGCAGAGAATGAGGGTGAGGTTGCTACTTCAGACGAAGGGTCAGTCCGGAGTGGCCCCTCTGAGGAGAGGACACTTGAGCAGAAAGAAACCCGAAGATGCGAGGGAGGGAGAATGTGAATAGCTGGGGGAGGCGGGGCCCAGGCAGAAGGCAAGACTGGCGCAAAGACCTGGTGGACGGGCCTGCGGACCACAGGGAGGCCTGGGTGGCGGGGGCACGCAGCTGCGTGCCTCAGGAAGGAATCCTGGGGAAGGGGCGGGGCCTGCATGGGCGGGGCCTGCGTGGGCGGGGCCTGCGGCCAGAGTTGGGGACGCGGGTATTTTTATTCACTCTGAAACAAGAAGCCGCTCAAGAATTTGAGCAGGGGATTGCTATGATCGCATTCATATAGTTCAAAGTTGTTTCTCTGGCTGCTCTGTGGCGACTGTAGAGGGTCAGGGGCAGAAACAAAGGCAACAGTTAGGATGCCACAGCAGGGAATCACAGGAGACCAGGGGGAAGCCGGTGGTGAGGTGGTGAGAAGTGACAGGTGTCTTTTGAAGACAGAGCAGACTCAGGACTTGCTGAGGGATGGAATACGGTGTGTGAAACGGAGAACAGTCAAGAATACGGTATGGATGGCTGTATCCGGAGTTCAGTTTCAGACATGTTAGACTCGAGCTGTCTAACACACATTCAAGTGGGAAAGCTTCACGGGCTGGCAGATGGGGACGTTGGGGGTTCAGAGGCAATGTCAGGGCCGATGACATATTTTAAAGTCGAGGGACTGGACGGATACCCAGGCAAATGAGTGGGAGAAATGAAAACCAAGGACTGAGCCCATGCGTGGAAGTTTGGGTTAGGGGGGAAATCCAGCAAAGAAGACTCGTTCCTATTAAACCAGGAGTAAAATCAGAAATGTGCCAGAGATGCTTTCGAACTTCTGTCGTACAAAAGTATAACTCTTTCAAAAATTATTTCTAAATTGAATCATCCAAAGACGCCGACAAAGAACACATATTAAAACCCTGCTGTTTTAGGACATGGTGTTGGGGGTGCTCGAATTCTATCCTTTGGTAGAGAATTCTTCCTGAACTCTGGGCTTTGTCAGGGACAGCTGTCCCATCCACTGGGAAAGTTTGAGGTTTCTGACTAAAGCTTCACTGCTTATAAATTTCTCATGCTCTCAGGTTCCAGCTGGAAGCTAGAGATTGAGGAATAACTCTTTGGTAAACCCACCATGGAGGAAGAAGAGAGAAGGGTTTGGCAGGTGCTGTGGACCCCCAAATTCATATCTTGAAACCCTACTCCCCAATGTGATGGTATTGGAGGTAAGGCTTTGGGGAGGTGATTAGGTCATGAGAGTGTGGTCCTCATAATGTGATTCAAGCCCTTGTAAGAAGAGACAGAAGAGCTTGATTCCTCTCTCTTTGCCCCCATCCCACAAGGACATAATCTGGTTACGTTTTAGGACACAAACAGGAAGCAAGCCCTCACCAGGAACCAAATCAGCTGGCACCTTGATCCTAGACTCCCAGCCTCCAGGACTAAGGGAAATAAATTTTAGTTGTTTAAGCTACCCACTCTGATATCCTACTATAGTACTCTGAACTGACTAAAACAGCAGGAAATGGAGAAGCCATCCCTAATTCAGCCAGTGGCCCAGCAGCCGCAGGAAAATTCAGGAGAACGTGCAGTGAGAGGCAAGGATATAAAACACCTGCCTTCCTCTTCTGAGTTTTGCTTTTGAACAGTTTTTACATGATGGAGTCAGGTCAAAGTGCTGCTGTGGTGAGTAAACACATTTTTTCCCAAAAGTTGAACATTTTCTCTTTCTCTCATGCATCACTATGCTCCCATAGATTCCCTGCACCAAACCTGGTGAAATGAGCGAGCTATCAGGCAAGCAGCAGGCAAATAATAGGTTTAACAATGAACTAGAATAAAACATCCTACCACCCTGTACCCAAAATGCATACTTTGTTATTATTTCACATCTTGGATCTTCATCTTTGGAGGCCACAGGGATGAATCTCCCTGAGAGCATATTAACCTTGCTGTCAGACCCAGAGCACAGGGAGTGGGGAATCCATGGTTAATTACTTTTCAAAATCACCTCTAAATATGTTCAGAAAAACTGGGAAATTGATTTTGGTTCCCACCAAGCGGTATGTCTTCCTTCCTTTAAAGCTATTATTTCTCAGTGCAACTGCAATTTAAACAGCTGCACTGTGAAGGCCCTAAGCTATATAGCTTTTACTTTCTCTAACTTTTCCCCATATTTAAACGAGTATCTTCTTTGATACATTCATGCGTTTAAAAAAGTCATTTACTTAGCAGTTATTTACTGAGCACTTAGTAAGATTCAGGTATTGAGCTGGGTTCTGGGCACAGTAGGAAACAAGACAAACATTCCTGGAGACACGGAACAAGCATTCTGCAGAGGATGGTGTGTAAAGGGAAAAAGGCAAATGAAGATGTATACAGAGTTTCCAATTATGACTAGAAAAAATAAAGTAATAAAGATGCCTGGGCAAGCCATTTTAAATAGAATGATCAGGAACATGCCTTCTTGAAATAATGACACATGAACTAATGAATAAGACTGAGGCAGCCCTACAAGTGATCTGGAGAAGAGTCCAGGCAGAAGGAACAAGTGTGAAGGCTCAGAGAGGAAAGTAGTCTGACATACCCAAGAAACAGAAAGAAAATCATTCTGGTTGAGCCTACTGAGAAAGGGAGAGAAAGAGAAGAGAGACAGAGAAGCTGAAACACAGATCATGGAAGAGCATATACAATACGCATTTTATTGATTTTATTCTAAGAGGAATAAACAGTGGAATACTTTTTAGCAGGACGGAGACTTGATCTAGTTTACATTTTTTAATTAAACTTGTTTATTTTGAAATAATTGTAGATTCCCATGTTACAATTGTAGTTGTAAGAAATAAAATAGATGGATCCCATGAACCCTTTACCCAATTTCTCCTAATGGTAATATCTTGCAAAACTACACTGCAATATTATCACCAGGATATTGACGTTAATACAATCCACCAGTCATATTCAGATTCCCTCAGTTTTATTTGTACTCATGTGTGTGCATGTGTGTGTTTAGTTCTATGTAATTTTTCAATAAACTTTATTCTTTAAAGCAGTTTTAGGTTCACAGAAAAATTGAGGAGAAAGTACAAAGAGTTCTCATATGCCCCCTGCCATGACACAAGCACAGACTTCCCCACTATCATCATGCCCTACATTTATTACAACTGATCAACCTACACTGACACATCTTTATCACCTGAAGTCCATAGTTTACCTTGGAGTTCATTCTTGGTGTTATGCCTTCTATGAGTTTTAAAAAATACATTATGACATATACCCTTCATTATACTATCATACAGAATAGTTTCACTGCTCAAAAATCCTCTATTCTCTGCTTATTCATCCCTCCTTTCCACCAACTCCCACCAGCCACTGATCTTTTTTAGTCTCCATAGTTTTGCCTTTTCTAGAATGTCATCTATTGAATCATACAGTATGTCACCTTTTCATATTAGCTTCTTATACTTAGTAATATGCATTTAAGATTCCTCCATGTCTTTTGATGACTTGATAGCTCATTTATTTTAGTGCTCAATGATATTTCATTGCCTGGATGTGCTACAGTGTATTTATTCATATACCTACTGAAGAACATCTCGGTTGGTTCTGGGTTTTGGCAGGTATGAATAAAGCTTCTATAAATATCCATGTGCAGGTTTTTGTGTGGACTCCTTTGAGTAAATACCAAGAAGCATGATTGCTGGATCTTATGGTAAGGATATGTTTCATTTTTAAAGAAGCCACCAAACTCTCTTCCAAAGTGGCTGTACCATTTTGCATTCCCACCGGCAATGAATGAGAGTTCCTACTGCTCCACATCTTTACCAGCATTTGATGTTGTTATTGTTTTAGGTGTTGGCTGATAGGATGGCCTTACTAATAAACTACCTAATAGAGGAAAAATAAACTATCCAACAGAAAAAAGGAGAAAACTCACAGCACATAATTGCCCCTTTGTGAAGACAAAGATCATAGCACAACTGCCCCTTTGTTAGATTAACCACCTGTGGCTTAAATTGTTTCATTTGAGTTTGTTTTCCAGCACTTGAAAAGAATTGAACAGATACAAGGAGCATGATGTTCCCTAGTTCTTGCTCTCCCCAGACCACATTCCAAGGACTCTGATAAGCCAGCCTCACAGAGAAGAGAGAGGGAAAAAAAGGAAAAACAAACACAGCTGTTTCACAGCCATATCCTACTATTACTATGCAACAATAAACTTTTCTTTTCTCTTTAAGCCCATAAAAATCTCAAGCCCCTTTTGCTCAGGGGCAGCACTTCTTTCTTTTTTCCATGTGCCAAGCCCTTCCCCCAGAACCTTCTCTCATGGAAAGTAAAATACACCTTTTACTTCTTTCTATCCTAATCTTTGTGTTGACAATTCTTTCTCAGCCTGTGCCATGAGTTCCCAACCTAACATTGGCCATTCTCATAGGTATGTGTAATGGCATATCATTGTTCTAATTTGCAATTCCCCAATAATATATGATGTTATCTTTTCATATGTTTATTTGCCATCCATATATACTCTTTTGTGAAGTATTCATTTAGGTGTTTTGCTCATTTTTTAATTGATTCGTTCATTTACTTATTGTTGAGTTTTAAGAGCTCCTTTTATATTTTGGATAACTGTGTTTTATTAGTATGTCTTCTGAAAATATCTTATGCTAGTCCATTACTTGAGTTATATGCAATTTTATCACAGATATAGGTTCGTATTATAGTCGAGATACAGGAATTTCTATCAGTGTAATGATTCTTCATGATTGCCCTTTTATAATCACGTCCACCTCCCTCCTGCTTCCTTCCACATTCCTCTCCCCTGGCAACCACTAATCTGTTCTCCATTTCTGTTTTTTTTTTTTTTTCCATTTAATGAATGTTCTGTAAATGAAATCTTAGGTATTCAATATTTGTATATTGGATCATTTTACTCACTATAATTCTTTGGAGATTCATCCAGATTGTTGTCTATAGCAATGGTTCCTTCTTTTTATTGCTGAATAGTACGTTACAGTATAACATACCACAGTGTGTTTAACCATTTTTTCACGGAGGGACATCTGAGTTGCTTCTAGTCTTTGGCTATTACAAATAAAGTTACTATAAATATTCATGTACAGGTTTTTATGTGAACCTAAGTTTTCATTTCTCTGGGATAAATACCCAAGAATGCAATTGCTGGATCATATAGTAATTTCATGTTTAGTTTTATAAGAAACTGCCAAACTGTTTTGTAGAGTGCCTGTACCATTTTATATTCTCTCCATCAAAATATGAGTGATCCTTGAATGTTTATAGCAGCACAATTCACAATTGCAAAGTTGTGGAAATAACCCAAGTGTCCATCAATACATTAGTGGATTAATAAAATGTGGTATATGTATACCATGGAGTACTATTCAGCTTTAAGAAACAATGGTGATATAGCATCTCTTGTATTTTCCTGGATAGAGCTGGAACCCATTCTACTAAGTGAAGTATCTCAAGAATGGAAAAACAAGCACCACGTATACTCACCAGCAAATTGGTATTAATGGATCAACACCTTAGTGGACATATAGGAATTACATTTATCGGGTGTCGGGCAGATGGGAGAGGGGAGGAGGGGATGGGTATATACAAACATAATGAGTGAGATGTGCAACGTTTGGGGGATTGTCAAGCTTGAAGCTCTGATTTGAGGGGGGGAGGAAGGCATGGGCAATATACATAACCTTAACATTTGTACCCCCATAATATGCTGAAATAAAAAAATGTTATTTGAAAAAAAAAACTGAATTGTGCCAATAATATATAATGTTAGTCTTTTAATGATATTTATTTTCCCTTCTTTCTTTTTTTATTGACACATAATAGTTGGACATATTTATGGGATACATGTGACATTTTGTCACATGCATATAATGTGTAATGATTGAAAAACAGTATAATCATGATATCTATCACCTCAAACAAGTGTGATTTCTTTGAGTTAGGAACAGTCTAGAGCTTTTCTGCTAGCCATTTTGAAATATACAATAAAGTATGTTATCTGCAAAAAAAAATATGAGTGATCCATTTTCTCTAGCATTTTATGTTACAACTATTTTTTTTAAAAATTTAGTCATGTTTATAGGTTTAGTGCTAGTGCATTATGGTTTTGCCTTGCATTTCCCAAATAGCTAATGATGTTGAACATGTTCCCTTGTACTCATTGGCCATCTGTATATCCTGTTCAATTAAATGTCTTCTCATGTATTTTGCCCAGATTCTAATTGAATAGTGTTTTTAATAACTATTTAGTTTTAAGTGTTCTTTATATATTTTTAGATACAACTTATTTGTCAGATATATGGTTTGTAAATGTTTTTTCCCATTCTGTAGCTTGTCTTTTTATCTTCTCAATAGGGCCCTTTGTAGAGCAAGAGTTTTTAATTTTGATGAGGTAAACTTTATCAAATTTTCTTTTTATGTATTATGTTTTTGTTGTTAAATCTAAAAAGAGGTTACCCACTTTGCCAATTGCTGCCTTTTAATTAGTGTATTTAAGCCATTTAAATTTAAGGTTATCACTTGTATGTTAGAGCTGGAGTCTGCCATTTTGCTAGTTGTTTCTCAATTGTTTCCTTTGTTTCTTGTTCCTGTGATTCTCTTTTCTTACCTTCCTGTGGGTTACTTGAACAATTTTAAGAATTCCATCTTACTTTTTAATAGTATTTTTGAGTGTGTCTCTTTTTATGGTTTCATTAGTGGTTGATTCATAGTTTATATTTTTTAAACGGTCATAGGCTGCTGGGTGAAAATGGGTTTGAAGGTAGAAATATTGGAGAAAGAGCACCCAGTTGAAAGGCTATAGAGGTTATCATACCAGTTTGAGAGGATTACTTTAAGTGTTACCACTGGTGTAAAACTCCAGGGAAACACATATGGTTCTCAAGCAGGGTATGCCAGTCCACACTCGGGGCTGCCTGAATTGTGGAGTCATCACAACACTGCTGGAGTGACCTCAGATACAGCACATTTGTCTGGGGTTGAGTGCTTCCATCTTAGAAAACATCTTCCCTGATCCCTGCTCATCTTCTAGCTGCCATCTTCTTCTCTCCATCCTGTCTCAAACAAACTTTGTGAAAGAGCTATCTGTAATTTCTCTCTCTACTTTCACCTTCCATTTACAATCCCTGTCGTTAATTCCCAGCAAACCCAACTCTACCTCTGCTGCCTGCTGAAACTGCTCTCCATGTGGTCATCAATAAGTTCTATGTCATTGGACCCAATGGGCTCTTTTGATCTTCATCTTACTAGATGTTAGTACATCATTTGATAATGTTGACTGCTTCCTCTTTCTGGAAAGCTTAATTTCCTTTTCCTTAGCTTTTGTAACTCTTCTGCTTTTCATTTCCCTGGAAGTTTCCTCTGTACATTGTTTTGCCACTGCCAGAATCCTAATTGTAGATTTTAGCTATTTCCTCTTTCTCTTTTTACATACTCCCTTGGCGACCTCACCCATTGCAACATCATCACCCATATATAGAAGACTCTCAAATCTATATGTCTATCCCGAATCTCTTACCTAAACTACCTGAGTATAGGATGGTTCTACTTAGAATTTCACAGGTCCCTCAAGTTCCTCAATATTTTCAAAATGCTTTCATTATGTTCTTCCCCAAACTCATTGCTCTTTCAGTTTCCTCTTTTGGTATTTGGCACTTCTACCCACTTGAGTTGACTAAGCCATTAGGAAATCTAAGAATTATTCTAGATGCTTTATACTTCCTCACCACTCCCTTCCCTCCCACACCATACAAGTCCTCTATTCAATCTTCATCTTAGGCATCTCTTCTTGAACCTGTTCACTCCTCCCCATCCCCGCCACCACTATTTTAGTTCAGGCCACTATTATCTCTCTCCCATATTGCTTGAACAGCCTGATCCCCTTTCTGACATGCTCTTTCTGATCTAGTCTCCACCTTGCAGCAATGATGATATTTCTGAAACCAAATTTTATGGTGGCACATTTAAGGTGATCAGCTACCCTGGCTTTTCTGGGACAGAGGGGTTTTGTTGGGAGCTGTCCCGAACACGGGAGAGTTAAGGTGCCCGGAACACTGGGGTCCTTGAGACACAGCACCTGGCGCCTTAACTCATAGCTCTGACATTCTTGGCCTTTCTTCTAGCTCACGGAGGGTGCTGGAGATAGCAGTAGCAATTATAGAAGGTCACTGAAGTAATCCTGTGCACACAGCCCTCGTCGCTTATAGCCCCCACTAGGCCCTGCACACTCCTTTCTCGGAATTGTTAATTACACTTGGGTGCTGCTCCTTTCCTAGAACTGTCTGAGTGATCATAGATGAGTATTTGTAGCTTTTTTGATATCAGAAAAAAGTTAAGTTGTAGATTAGAAAACTGCTTAAGCGAGGGAAAGGACTATCAAAGTGACGTAAGGTTAAAAGAAACAAGAACTGTTTTGTTTTCTGGTTTAATGAAGACATGCACCACCTGTTCCTTTGCATTTTGCTTCTCCTTTGTTCTTATCTGTATAAATACAGCAACTGAAATGAACGAGGTGCGGCAGTCAGCAAGGACTCCGTCCTCCCGTCCCCATCTTTTTGTTGTCTCTTCATTTCTCAGCCTCGCCCCCTAACTCCAGGTGCCGCACGTCGCCGGCTGGCTCCGGCAGGGTTTCCTGAAACAAAAGACTTTCAGTGTTAGAACTGGGACAGTCCCAGGAAAACCAGGATAGTTGGCCCCTCTAGCTTGATTAACTACTCCATAGCTTCCCTCTGTCCTCGGGATAATCAGCACATTCACTGACATGGATTTGAAGGTCCAGTTATTCCCTTTCTCTCAGATGCATGCCCATCTCTTACTCTTGTCCTCAACACTGCTCAGGTGCTTCTTATTCTCTGAGCCTAAGATCCTCCCTGTATTTGATATTTGCACATGCTCTTCTCTTTGGGTAAAATACTATTTCTTACTCTTTCACTTGGTGAACTCTTTCTCATTTTTCATTTTGTCACTTTCATCTAAAAACCTCCTATGATTCCTAAGGTTGGATTGCTGTGTTGCTCCAATGTTTGACTGTGTAACTCCCAATTCCGCCCTTTGCAGAACTAACCGTGTGCATTTTTAATTACTTGTTTACTTATCTGTTGCTCCCATTACACTGTGAACTCCTTGAAGGCAAGAGCCACACCTTACTAATTTCTGGGTACCCAGTTCCTTATAGAGTGTCTGGGACCTAGTAAGCTCTCAAAAAATATCTGTTGACTAAATAAGTAAGTTAATTTTGTGAGAAATATTTGAGGTCTTGAAAGGGCAAATTGCTTTCGAAAACACAGTTTGCTTATTCCCATAGATGTTATCAGAGTGTTTTAATATCGTATGACAAATTAAAATTTAAATATTAATAATTTAAACCACATTTTTATATAAGTTTGTTTTTAGTAGATTCTACTGGAATTGGGTTATAAACAAAAGAAACATTAATTGGTATGCTTATTATACCTAAGAGTATTCTGTGTTCTATTGCAGGATTTTTTTAAATGCTGTTTCTGGTCACTTATGAACAGAAAAGAGATAGGATATTGCTTCAGGAACTATTTCAGTGCATGAAATCATTACTTCAACTCAGAGAACACCGCGGATTAATCGCTTCAGTATCTAAAATGAGCTCTGGTTTTGATTTCCCTGAGGTTCCAAAGGTAACAAACCAAAACCTCCTATTTTTATGTTCCAAGGAAATATAACTGAACCCACAGTACTCACATAACTCCAAAAAGTGGCCCAAACAGCTGCTGCTGCCGAAACCTTTATGTGTGGGTTTTAACCCAGAGGAAACATTTTCAGACAAGTGTGGACGAGGGCTTTCTGCACATGAGTCAATACTCAAAGTGCTGACGCGCAGGATGACAGTGTGGCATGGGACAGAGTATTCTGGGCTGTGTTATTATAAAAAGAGTAATGTGTAACTGCTTCCCAAGGTAAACAAACCACAGAGCCCGCCTGCCTCTGTCTTTCTGTCAAAAGCACAAATGTGCTAAGGATTTTTTAAAGACAGAGTATGAGATTTTTCCCATTTTAGAGTGACCTGCTGCTTTTATCGATAATCTCTCTCCTGTTTTTGTTAGGTGAAGGCTTAGAGAATGATGGTTTAATCTGCAAAAACATGATGGGAAGGAACACTAGTGGTGAGATTTAAACAATGACCTTCTTGAATTTTCCAAGGAATGATTTTCACAAGAACCACAAGATGGCATTGTCTACTGTGGGACTGTGTTCTGGCGCTCAGCAAGAATTGACGGCGAGAGTAGAGACAGAGTTGTTTCCCATTCCTCATTTACTTTGAAAGATTTTGCACCTCCCTTCCACATAGGCTTTACTCACTGGCTTGTGCAGCTGTGGTGAGACTCGGATTAAAAAAGAGGAGAAATGATTTGAAATGAGTCTTGGGCAGGCTCAAAAAAGGCACTGATGGCCTATAATGAAATAAAGAGGAAGGTTGGGTGAGAAGATACCATGTTTCCCCGAAAATAAAACAGGGTCTTATATTTATTTTTCCTCAAGAAGACACCCTACGGCTTATTTTCAGGGGATGTGTTATTTTCCCCTCAAAGCCTCAGCTTGCTGCACGCACAGGATGGCCGGGACCTGACAGGAGGAACCGACCTTGCTGGTGGGGCTGCCCACACCTTCCGGTCACCTGTGGGATAGTAGCTGTCACGATGGGGCAGATGAGAAGGGCTGCTTGTCTTCACCGCTGTGCAACAAAATGCATGGGTTGTGCAGATACACTGAGTAGCCACGCCTGTCACTAGGTCTTATTTTCAGGGTAGGGCTTATATTGTGCAAATGCTTAGGAATTCTGCTAGGGCTTATTTTATGGGTAGGTCTTATTTTCGGGGAAACATGGTAGGTGCTCCCACCTGCCACAGTGCCAGATTCAAAGACACCTTGTCTTTACACATCAGTAGAAAGGAGCTTTAGACCTGATCCAGTTGTTGTAGTTTAAGCAATTCAGATATTTGTTTGGATTAATCATATCTCAAAGATATTATTTCCCTTTGGTATCATATCATATCTACCTACAATGACAACTCCATAACTACAGGGTTTTAAGGTGGAAAGCAGGCTCTCATCTCATCTCATCTCCAGCCCACAAGCATGGTACCACAACAAGAAGCAAAAGGAACAAATTCAAAGCAAGTACCTACACTGAACCTTGCACTTTACAAAAGTTGCTCAATTTAACCTTTGCAATAACTCCATGTGTAGGTATTACAGATGAGGGAATTGAGGCCTAGAAAGATTAAGAAACTAGTCCAACTTCATAAAGTGGTACCCTGTGATTTAACTGCTAATCAGTCTAACCCTACAGTCCAGGGCCTTTGCACTATACCACACTGCCTTCAAATATAAAGATACTGTATAACTAATCAAATCTGAAACAAATAGATCTAAGTTCTCTCTTTATCCTCAGTTACCTATCTGTATGGGGGTAGGGGGAGGCTGGCCACAGACAATAGGTTCCCACAAGGATTACAGGCAGGTCTATGCCTACCCCACGCTGCTGTTCTTCAATGTTCTGGCTGAGAGGTCTGCTATATATGAGGCAATTGGATACTTTTACTTTTTCCCTCCATGGACCTAAAATTCAATTACATCTGTCATGTTGATTTTATATCAACGTGTTATGAACCATAGGTTTTTGGTTTTCTCTGCATCATATGCATGCTCAGTACCATGCAAGAGAGGGTTTACAGACTGAAGACTTAGAGTTGCTATAAAGTGTGTACTTCTGCATAAAAATGTGTGGGTCAAAGTGGGCCATTCTAGATACTTGACACCATGTTAGATGCACAGACACATAAGATATAATCCCTATCCTCAAGGAGCTTGGAATCGAGTGAGGGAGACAGACACATAAAAAGATATAATTTCAGCATAATTTGGTAAGTGTTATGAAAGAGGTAAGCATTAGAAGCTAAGTAAACATAAAGTAGGGCATTTATTACATCCTGAGGGTTCAGAGAAGGATCCCTAGAGGATATAATGTCTCAGATCACACTTGAAGGATGAGTTAATGGCAAATGCTAAAATGGACTGCATCTTCACCTTACTTCCTACTCTTAACTAGATACCTGCTTAGTAGGGAAATCTTCACCATCTCAGATGCTCAGTCTCAGATTTGGGTGTATATGGTGTATCCTTTCCCTTCTCCTTCCTTAATGATTGCTACCCCTTTCCTAAGAGGCTCACCTCTAAAGTCTGTGTGGGCCGAGCGTGGTGGCTCATGCCTGTAATCCTAGCACTCTGGGAGGCCGAGGCGGGTCGATTGCTCAAGGTCAGGAGTTTGAAACCAGCCTGAGCAAGAGTGAGACCCGTCTCTACTATAAATAGAAAGAAATTAATTGGCCAACTAATATATATAGAAAAAATTAGCTGGGCATGGTGGCGCATGCCTGTAGTCCCAGCTACTCGGGAGGCTGAGGCAGCAGGATTGCTTGAGCCCAGGATTTTGAGGTTGCTGTGAGTTAGGCTGATGCCATGGCACTCACTCTAGCCTGGGCAACAAAGTGAGACTCTGTCTCAAAAAAAAAAAAAAGAAAAAGAAGAAAAAAAAGAAATAAAGTCTGTGTCATTGTGGCTCATTGTTTTTGGGCTTCAATTGTGTTTCACCAATGTGGAACCACCAGTAGAAGATCTGACTCGCAAAAGAAGAAGAGAGGTTTTTATCACTTACATTCCTTCTGGATTTGTTGCAATTATGCTAGTCACTGCATCCTCCTAGGACTATAGCTTCTGTCTTCCTTAACTGGGCTCCAGGAACAGTATTTCCACCAATTATTCATTGCTAGTGCCTTGCTGCCTCAATACCTCTTGTTGGGTTTCCTTCACCCTACACACGTGTCTTTTCACTTAAAAATTTATTCATGATTCCCACGCAAAGATGCCATCTGTTTCCTATGGGACCCTGACTGACACAGGTGAGAGAGGAGGGAGGCTTTTAACTAGCCCCAGCTTCATCTTTGGTAGCCCCACAAACCACAAAGGCTGAACAGAAGCAAATTTGATATCTAGTGGATTGAGTGACCAATTTGCACTTCTGAATCCCTATAAAATATGGAAATTATACTAGGTGGTTAGGGAAGATGAGACACGGTTCAATCCAGCAAGTATTCTTTGAATTGCTAGTATGTGTTAGCATTCTGTTGGAGTAGAGACTGCAGAGATGAAAAGCAGTCTCTTTGCTTAAGTAGCTCATAGTCTAGAAGAGAAGATAGAGACTTAAGTCACCAATTCCAGTGGAAACATGCTGAGGAGCCAAAAAGGAAGGGGACCTTTTTTCAGTTTAGAGGGAGGTGGTACTATTTGGGATAGCTCGCTTTGCAATGGTAACAAATCAACCCTGAAACTTAAGAGGTTGAACACAGTAAAGGTTGTTTCTCTTGCATGAAGCCTGATGCAGGTTGGGCAGCCTTCTTGTAACTATACCGTTTATAACATGCAGCCTCCAAGGTTCCATGGCAGAGAAAGAGAGGGATGGAAGCAGCACGTTGACTTCTAACAGTGTTGATCCATAAGTAACAAAGTTACTTCTGCTCATAGTCCTAGTTTCTGCCTAGCTACCTATCTAACTTCTGTCTCAGGGGTCCACAGAGGGCCTTTTCTAGCAGGCAACCTTTG